AACAGTGAAAGAGAAGTTATTTTGTACAGGGCTCTCGATCCCACACGTATTAGGACGCACTGTTTCTTTAAATCCTATCTCGGGTTGTCAAGCATTTCAGCTGGTCATATTGGCTGCAGACACACACACACACACACACACACACACACACACAGACAGATGTATATGGTTAGCAGGCCGAAGCTGGTTTGAGTTAGCATGGAGCCAGTCACACTGTGTGAGAGCCTTACCCCCTGCCTGCTACTGCCACCCTCCACAGTCTCATTCCTTCTTTCTGTCTCTCCAGCTCTCTCTTTCTTTTACTAAATATGTGTCAGTCACCGCTTGCCTGGGCCGTAGTAAACCGTCCGAGCTCCCAATGCCCTGTGAAACACACACACATACACACAGATACACAAGGTTGATATGCGTGGCCTTGTGTCTCCTGATTAGCCCCCGTCATGACAAACAAGCCATCAGAGCAGAGGGTAGCAGAGCACCAAAGAAGGAGGAGGAGGAGCAGGAGGGACGGATGGGAGATGTGAGGAGGAGGAGGAGGAGGAAAGGAGCAGAGGTGTAAAGGGGGGCAAGCGGGCGAGGTGAGGAGGCTGGGACCCCTGGGGACCCCTAGATCACAGCCATGCTAATGAGGGGCTGCTTTGCCGGCAGCAGAGGTGTCAGCTAACCCCTGACAGGTGCAAACACGCATACTCCCAGGGCTTGTGCCTACGCGTGCACGTGTGTGTTGCGAGAGTGTGTGGGAGGGGCTGCAGGGGCAGGTTTGTGTCCCAGTGGCCTAGCCTGCGGGCAGCTTTGTTCTGTATGCAAAGATGTCGCCGTGGCGTTCTGTTGCCCTTGATGGAATGCAGGAGCAGTACAGCGAACCTGAACCCCAGGAATGCTGCAGTGCACAGACACATAGATTTACACACACACATACACACACATGCACACACATGTGACATCTACTGTAGCAGATCCTTTGCTTCACCTTCTTGTTAACAACCAGAATCTGCACTCTGTCTTCTGTTTCTACCGTAAAGTGACATTATTCTACACACTCCAAACTTTGCTCCCTGGATGTAATGTTTTTCACCCTGTCTGCTGTTGAACTGTCCATGCCAAATGAACGCAGCACAGCGGAGTAGTTGGTGGGCTGGCGTTCAAATGTTACTTATTTTCAATTATGATTTTTTCCCCCTGAGCTTTGTGAGAGTTAATTTGGCATCAGTGAGCATTCATTACTATCCACTCACAGTTCACTGTCAGCTGAGAAGCTCCAGTTTGCCCATCTTGTCAAAGGCTGAGCCTGTGGATTTTTGTTATTCTTCTGTGGTCTTATTATAAGTCCCTCTGGATTAGAGTATCTGATAAAGGCCCCAAAATGTAAGTGTAATGTAAATGGAGGGAGCTCATGCTTCTAAAATATAACTCAAACTCCGTCTGGAAGGAGGGCATATGTGAATTCCTAAATTAAACACAAATCCACATGTCTGCACCATACGCCTGTTGTCTACTTCACCCCAGCCAAGCTCACACCAACTTTTCTTTGCTGGCCATATGCAAACAGTCAATACCATGGCTCCCCTTCATTCACTGGCATTTTGTTTGTACTTTTTAAGGCAAAATAATGACTATAAAAGGCAATCTGGAAAGAATAAAATCTGATGTAAAGCTCAGATCTTGGTCCCTGAAGACTGGGTTAATTGGCCCGGTGGTTTAGTAAAAAAACCAACCAAGGAGAGAAGGAGAGCATTATTACTGGCCCACCTCAGCCCCATGCATGTGCCAATGTTTTAATAACTTCCTCCAGGCCTCCTGGCCCTTAGCCCTCGTTTTGTTGCACAGGACAAAGAGCTGCCCTCCTAAGCTGGTCTGCTTCATGGGAAAGTCTGCCTAGGTGGACACCTGGGCAGAAATATAACTGTAAACTCAAAGATTCAGACTATTTCAAGGGAATGCCACCACACTATAGCATGTACAAGAAGGAAGTAGTGCTAGAAAAATGACAAAAAATGGCAAAATTCAGTTCATAATGCAGTACCGTGTTACAGAATCCTGCTGTGACTCCATTTCAGTTAACCTTTCGTTTCAGTCACATTCACTGAACAGTGTGTGTGTGTGTGTGTCAGTACGTGTGTGTGTGTCTGTGTGCATATGGTGCGCCAGAGTAAATTGGACGATTAGGTCCAGCATCAGTGGCTGCGTGGAGAGGAGAATGTAACTATTCTAACTGGTAGTTGACCTTGGTGGTCAGCAGTGGAGGGGTCCCTGCCTGCGTGTCAGGCAGACGACTGTGATTACCACAAACTGAAGCATGACACGGCCCACCGTGATTCTTTAATGAAGGCTTTTATTGGCTGGAGCACTGAGCAGCGACAACATTCAGACTCTTGCAGCATGTGTGCAAGTGTGTGAGAGAGGAAAGAATGGAGTGAGGATGTCTGCGACTTAATGGGTGCATATCTCTGTGTGTCTATGCGTGTGCATGTCCTAGAGAATGACGAAGTTTCTGTGATGTTACATGGGATGTTTTGCATCTAGCAGGTTGGGTTTACCGCTCACCTTTTCATCGGCTTGAAGCAGAAAAGTCCAAATTTGGGCTACCAGAAGAAATGTGGGTGGAGCTGAGGTGACATGAGAAAACCCCAGCTCAGCGTGATAGTCTGAAAGAACTGTCAATCCCCATCATACACTTCTCGAGGCTTTAATGTCCTCTTGATGAATAGCTAAATTTCAAATTCTTGCCAAGATGCACAACAAAAGAAATTTATTGAGTTTGTGCAAAATACAAAATGAATCTACTTTCAGATTGAAAGAGAAACCATGTTGAACCTGCATCTAGCAGCCATTAGAGATATTGCAGAGGTATGCTTTCGTATTGCCTTCGACATCCGGTGTGTGTGTATGGGAGTGTGTGTCTGTCATTCTGTCTGTCTGTATATCTATTTATCTATCTATCTTATTTGCTATTCTAGTACTCCCCCCATTGCTTGTTTGGGAAATTGATGAAATTTGTCTTTGCCATCATTAGGCAGCAGCCATCAGCTGCCACTCTGTTAGCTGCCACGCTCCCTTTAACAGCATATGGCACAGCTGTGTAAGATATGACAAGATGCAAATGTGTAGTGGTGATGGGGTAGAAGGTTATGGGGGTTGTGGTAAATTATTGGGTAGCTTGTATTGATGAGGCCATGTGCAGGCCAAAATACAGATAAAAGAAAAAAAACACAATTTCTCCCAATCTCATGTCTTCATTTCATATTGATCCTCGTGTGTCGATGAGATTACAAAGCTCCCAAGTCTATAGACCCCTCTTGGTCCGTGGGAGCTTGTAAATACCCTCTGGTGTATGCGTGTGTATGTGCGACTGCCCAATCACGTCTGGCCCTTAAAGTCCCTCCACCTCTCTTCTTACCCCCTCTCCTCCTCCTCTTCCCTTCCCTCTCTCGCTCTCTTCTCCCCATCCAAGCTGTTAAGCTGTCCAGCTCTCTACTGCCAAACGGCCCTGTGAAGCCTCGCCAAACTAAACACGGGCAGGCAGCCCGCCACTCGCCCCACACATACACACAGCCATACAGGCACAAAAATATAATCCACATACATGTCCACATTCATGCACATACACACGCTCCTACACAGCCGTTAGTAGCAGGAGTCAGGTCATGTCCCACCCCACACAAACAGTAAGAGAGACGGTTATACCAGAGCCCCGCTAATAGCAGAGAAAAACAGACAGAATCAGTAAATGAGCCCCTCATTAACTTTTTCTGACCCTGTCTCCCCTGGGGAAAGCCAAACCAATCACACCGCCAAATCAGCTTCCTGTACTAGACACTGATCCAACATCAGCTTTCACTCATCTGCTCTGCACGGTACAAGTGTGTGTGTGTTTGTGTGTGTGCGTGTGTGAATTTGTGAGTGTACTGAGGTGTGCTGTGAGAAGGGCGGGAGACAAAAAGGGAAAGTGAAAAGAAAACATTGCTACGGATGTATCTGTATCTGAATGTGTGTTTTACATTCCATGACAATGGGTGACTTTGAGGCAGTCAGCCATCTTAAGGGCTCATTTGCTTGATCACATAAGACTTTGGGCAAAAGTAACTTCTCTGTCTTTGTTTTCTCCCTCTGGGCTCCAAGCTTTGGGACCACTGTACCAACTTGACTCCACTTGCGGTAGCCGCTGATGATAAAATAGATGCAGATGCCTTGCAAGGGAACACAAGACTGTGGAAATGCCTCTTCAACGCTGGTCTGTGTTGAATTAAATGAAGCCCAACTGAAGCACTTTTTTATGACTCACAAGTAGGCTGACAGGGCCGTGCCACAGTGACTGATAGATTCATTTGGCATTATTAAGTCATGCCATTTAAATGGGCGATTTGTCAGTGAGTGACGTACAGTTTTTGTATGTGTATGTGTGTGCAGCCACCACAGCTCACTTTACTGTACTTGTTATTACACCAGTGACGTAGAGCTTTATTTAATGTGGATGCTATGTTAAGACCAGAGGGGTCTTTACTGTTTACACATTGTCTCCATCACCTCTCCTGTCTCCCCTTTTGTGTGTCTCTCTTTCCCTCTAATGCCACATCTCCCCCTCTCCCATATTTCCTTTTTTCCCCCATTGGTGTGTTTTCTTTCCATTGCTGCCTCCACTGTCTCCATATGGAAATGACAGAGTAGACGAGATGGATCTGTATATTAAAGCCTAGCTGACATTAGAATTAGCATAATGTGTCATGGCCTTAGGGCAGTACCTGCCATCTGCATTAGCCTGTAGACACATGCACACACACACAGTCAAAGCCCATGTAAAACCCTCATACACAGACACAAGCAGAAATTAATATAACTGTGCCTTTTAAGTACAATTCATGTTCTTAAACTCTTCACATGTTCACATATGTTATTTACAAACATGGAGGCATAGTAATATGCTGGTGTAAATTGTAAAAATTTTTTTTGCATATTTTATTTGGATTTGGTTTTTACAATTTTGTCTTTCTCTTGGCCCACAGATAAAGATGAGCCATCCAGCTACATCTGCACTACCTGTAAGCAGACCTTCACCAGCGCCTGGTTCCTGCTTCAGCATGCCCAGCACACTCATGGCATCCGCATCTACCTGGACAACCACCCTGTCAACTGCTCCCTCACTCCCCGCATGGCTCTCCCTCCACCCCCATGCACTGATGCCCTGCCCCGCTCTCCTCTCCCCACTTTCCTTGGTGACACCAACAACCCATTCCACCTTCTCCGCATGGCTGCACCCTTGCTCAGGGAACACCCCCCTCCCCCGGGGTATATGGAGACCCGCCTGCCTGCAACGCCACCCTTTATGAGCCCTCCACCGCCCCCTAGACCCCCTTTAGAGAGGCTGGGCCCAGAGGAGATGGGGCTGCTGTCCCAGCACCCCAGTGCCTTTGAGAGGGTGATGCGGATGACCCCCATGGAGCCTCCTTCCATGGACTTCTCCCGACGTCTGAGGGAACTGGCAGGCAACACGACCAACAATGGGGGGCCCACACCTCCTCTTTCACCCAACCGCGTGCCACCCATGCATCGCCTGCTGAGTCCCACGCTTTTCCAGCCTGGCTCCAAGCCCCCTGCATTTCTCACATATGCCCCGCAGCCACCCACTTCTCAGGGGGGACACGGTTCTTCCAGCCCTCCTGACAGCCAGGGACAGAATCAGACCCCTGGGAAATCCAAATCCTGTGAGTTCTGTGGCAAGATTTTCAAGTTCCAGAGCAACCTGATCGTCCACAGACGCAGTCACACAGGAGAGAGGCCATACAAGTGTCATCTATGTGATCACGCCTGCTCCCAGGCCAGCAAACTTAAGAGGCACATGAAGACACATATGCACAACAAGTCTGGTTCCATGAGTGGCTCCCCAGAACAGGGAAACAGAGGTGAGGGAGGAGAAGGTGAAGAGAAGAGTAGGGAGGGGGATTCCAGAGGGATGGACAATGACGAGGAGGAGGATGAAGAAGAGGAAGAAGAAGAGGAGGAAGAGGAAGAGGAGGAAGAACTGAGGAATGGTCGGCCAGATTCCAACTTAAGCGAGGACTCCCAGGAGTTCAGCCAGAACAGGGAGAACGGCCCCAGACAGTCTCCTGAGGAGAAACCCCTGAGCAGGGATAGAGTAAATGATAGTGGCGGGGTGGGCATCATGCACCAGTTCAACCATCTGGACAATCACCTTAGACTTAATCCTAACAAGAGAAGCCTGGAGAGACAACCTAACGGAGATGGCGGAGAGAGGGGTGAAGCAGAAAGAGAAAGAGAGAATGAGAGGGAGCAGGACAGAGAGCGAGATGAGCGGGAGGACCACAGGCCTGTGATGAACGGCAGGATCAGTGTATCTGAGGCAGACTCCTTCCCCGGCCTGTTCCAGCGTCGGCCCACCCCCATCACCAGCCCGAGCCCCTCCAACAACAAGAGGATCAAGATAGAGAAGGAACAGCTGGAGCTTCCCCCAACCATACCCCTTATCTCCCCGGAGAATGTCTACTCTCAGCTCCTGGCTGGCTACGCTGCTTCACGCCACTTCATCAGAGAACCCTTCTTGGGATTCACAGATTCCCGTCAGTCGCCGTTCGGCACCTCCTCTGAGCACTCCTCGTCAGAGACGGGAAGCCTCCGCTTTTCCACCCCACCTGGGGAGCTGATGGAAGGGGGGAGCGCCTCGGGCCGTAGTGGCAGCAGTACTCCTCACCTCCTGCGGGGACCTGGACCCGGCAGGCCCCCGAGCTCTAAGGAGAGGAGGAGTGACACCTGCGAGTACTGTGGCAAGGTGTTCAAGAACTGCAGCAACCTGACAGTGCACCGACGCAGCCACACAGGCGAACGGCCCTACAAGTGCGACCTGTGCAGCTATGCCTGTGCCCAGAGCTCCAAGCTGACACGCCACATGAAGACCCACGGGCAATTTGGGAAGGAGGTGTACCGCTGCGACATCTGCCACATGCCCTTCAGCGTCTACAGCACGCTGGAGAAACACATGAAGAAATGGCATGGCGAACATTTGATGGCCAGTGAGGTCAAACTGGAGCAGGCGGACAGAGGTTAAGCCAGCAACCATTAGTTATACAGCCTACATTGTACACAAGCCAACACGCACACACACATACACAAAATCACACACACATACAAAATCCACGTAACCACTTCTTCAGCTATGGGGCATAGCTGGATAATCTCTCTCTTAAAGATTTTTGAGACTGATTGATGTTCATCTTTTTTTCTTGTCACAGAAACTGCCACCTGAGAATATAAACAAAGGGAAACTTTAATGAGAACTTGTCTGGAATGCCCATCTTGGTGTTTCTTGGCAAACTGTCTGAGGATTTTATCAGTTAGGAATCCATGGAGCCTTTCTACTGTGCAATAATTTCTGTATTTATTGGATTTTTGTAATGATATTTGGCATGTGCAGGTACATCTTTGTGGGATTTCATATGGAGTTAGTTTTGAAATGTGCTAAAACATTTTTTTTTCTAAAATGCGATAACTGGAAAGAAGTCACCCTTAATACAAATTATCTTTTTTTTTTTCCTTTAAGGAATCTTATTATCACGTGAGAATAAAAATTGTGTGAAGCGGTTAGCTTTTAAAAGTAAAAATATTTGTTTTCTATATTGACTGCAGCAGCGGACTACAATCCATTCCCTCACACAGGCCTAAAGCACTGAATGTCAGCCTGACTATAAAACATTATGTTGGGTTTTAAAAATCCAACATTATCTTAGAGACCTGATAAGTTACTTTTAATTTATTCAGGGAAATTTTGTCCTCTTAAACATTGGCATGTGAATAACGTCAAAATGCAGTTACTGTATTGCTGTCCTTGCTTCAGTTAGGACATAAATAAAGGTTGCACTTAATGGAGGTACCCTTAACTGATGCTCAGTACATTCCCAATGTAGGATTAAACCACATATTTAATATGTTGAATAAGTTAAGACTACTTGTGATTAATGTGAGAAGGAGAACAGTCCTGTTTATTGTTTGTAAATATATTCTTTTTTAAATATGTTAAAGTAGCCCCAACTGTACGTGAAAAATGGCCTAAAACTTAACAATCAGAAGACCAGCTGCTTGCATCATCCACAGTATATGCTAAGTGTAACTACCATTCATTATTGCTTTATCAGACCCACTTGATTATCTCCCCCACTCCCTCACCCCAGATGTGCTTACTCAAAGGCAATTTGTTAAACTAAAGCTACTTCAACAATTGTAACACTTTCTAAATCATTCTCAATCTCCCTCTCGTGTCTGGCGTGGCATCTCTCACTGACCCAGGTTGACTTCCCGTGTCCCCTTAGGATCCACAAAATGGTTTCAAATGAAATTCATATCAATGTGTGTTGGCGTGTGTGTTCTTCTCTCCGCAGCGTGCTTTAAGCCTCTCTCCGACGGCGTCTTTTCACAGTTCACTAGCTCAGATTCATGCATTAGAGCGGCTTTTAAAAGGAAGCCTGTTCATTCGCCTCACAAAGTGATATGGATTTAACTCCCAGTAACAGATTTTGAGACAGTGTGCATGTTCGTGACTTTTGGGGATTATGGTTTTTATTTTCTGCATCGTTCATCCTGAAATGAATCTGGTAGGGGAGGGCTATATGAGTTATGATAATTCTGAGCACAGCTGCAATGGGGGATGGCCGGGCGACCTTGAGTAGGGGCTATTCTTATTGTAAAAATGAAAGATTGGAACTGAGAAATGAAGAAGTGTGAGAAAGAAATGGAGGGAGAGAGAGCAAGACCTTGACTAGGGAGAAGAGTCATTCAAATGAAATTGGAAGCATATGAAACGTATTTTTTTTTTTCGGTATCCAAATGCACAGCTACTGGCCACATCTTATAACGGACCATCAGAGTGAGACAGAACGAGCATGAGAGGGAGGGAGACAGCAAAGCCACATGAAAGGAGATTGAGACTACATCTTTCATTTGAGTTCTGCAATTTTCAGTCATCAAAATCATCTTCACTTGAAAGTTTGACCTGCTTTTTTGGCCCATTGTCAGGTTTTATCTGCGCCATTTTGTTTTGATAGAAAAAGGATTATACTGTATCTTGAATACAAATTCCTCTTTTTGTGATTTTTTTTTTAAGGAATTGATGTTTAGGTCACAGCAGCTCTCCATAAGCTATTCAGTCACCGCAATATATTTTAGTGAATTAACACAATGGGAACGGCTGAAGAGCTGCTTTCAACTTGCATTACACATCTCGATGCATGAGTGCAAAAATCAAGATCGCACGCTGTATTCATTCCAGGAAAACTCAGATCAGAGTTAGGCCAAAATGAGCCATACCACTATGAAATATGTCACATTCAAATGATGAACAGTGGAACCCTGACAGAGATCAAAATCATACATGGACATTCAGTCTTACAATATGTTTACAGTGTTGAAGTATGCCATTAATGAAATACTCTGTGTAAGTGTTTGAGATGATAATAAAGTATTGTTTTCTCCAATGTTCTTACAAATGTTTTGAATGCCATAGCAGTTTTGTATGATTATCCTGGTGGAGGGATTTTATCTTCATGAATATGTTAATGTATGATTACTTGTTCACTGTATGGGAAGACAATTTTTGAAATGTAATATTGCGGAATCATGCCAGATTATATTTTTTTTCTAACAAGAGTGGTGCCATTATTGACTTTTGGTCTCTTTAATCTTTTTTTTTAATTTTTTTTTTTAATTTAACTTTAAATTTTTCTTTTTGAATGAGTTTCTTGATGTTGGTTTGGCGAAGCTATCCTTCATGGATGTAAAAACAAAACGATTTTTTTTAAATAATTAGAAGAATGAGAGGATCATAAAGGGAGAACCTTCGGCAGGGGAATACAATACTTTGTGCAGGAATGCTTTTCCAAATCAATTTTATGAGACATTCATGAACATTATGTTTTTCCTCATGGTTGGTTGAAGGTCTTGTGATGGCACTTACAACTGTAATTTTAAATACATTTTCATTTTCACTTTTCACAACTTTCACTTACAATCTTTGTACAAAATAGTTTCCTTGGTCTTTTTTTGAGGGGGAGGAGTGCATCATTGTGAAAAAAGTGATTTCAGAACAGTACACATCTGCTGTTTTGAGCATATATGTATTTTTGTAATGTGTTGAAAAATCAATACAAGAAAGCCAACACTTCAATAAATGTTGCAATTGCTCTATGATTGAAGCAACTTTTCATTTTGATCATTTCATGTTCCTTTTCTTCTACCAATGCACTTCATCACACATATTGGAACAGCTATACACTTTAGGTACATAATAAAGTGTTAGTGTACAGCTTAAACAAAACTCTATTGTTGCTATAGCACCATTCCAGCCTATTCCTCATAGATGACCCCAAAGGGTAAACTGATTTAAATAAAAAACAAAACATCAATTTCTGTAAAGGGTTGAGCAAAAACTACAGCGTTTCTTTAGCCGACATATGAATTTAAAAACTGAACAGAAATTGCTGTATCTTTACATCCCACACAAGCGAATCATGCAATTATATGCTATCAACGATTTTACATACAAACCATCAGAAATAATCTGATGTTGGCTTTAGGGTGTGGAACCTTGTTTTATTGCCAACTGCCAGCCATGACTGTCTGATCCACGCAGGGTGTAAACTTAAAAAGATATGCCATTAAAAAATTTATTCATTTTGTATATTGTGGAATTTAGTGTGCAAGAGCAGAGCTTGTGAAAAGACATACCATTTTAACATAGGCACATTTAGAGTCTTTGAAGCAGGATAATGTACAAGAAGTCTTCTAGAGTTTGATCATCAAAAATGGCTATTGCATACTGTTAAATGTTAAAACAAGGACTCATCTCCTACAAACATGTTTTAGCATTTCTGCAATGGAGAAGAGCTGAGAGGACCACAAGATAGCTGGACACATTCACAATCAAAATGGATAATAATGGGTTTATCCTGCTTCCTTGCTTTGGTCTGGATCAATTTTAACACTGTGTGATAACTTTAAACTCCTTCATTCACACAGATGCTGTCTTGTGTTAAGATGGAGTGGCTTTCTTAGCTACAGTAGGTGCATTTTCAAGGCCTCGAGCTTGTTGAAAAAATCCCTCTAAATTTTGTTCAAAACCTTAAAGTTGGGTTGACTGTGGCTCAGGAGATAGAGCGGGTCGCCCACTGATCGGAAGGTCGGCCCTCGAATCTGTATGTTGAAGTGTCCTTGGGCAACCCCATATTGCTCCTAAAGGCTTGCCATCCGTGTATGAATGGGGTGCATGTGACATGTAGTTTAAAGTGCTGTGAGTGGTTGGAAGACTAGAAAGGTGCTATAAGAACAGTCCATTTATCATTTTAATCATCAGCTACAAAGTCACATTTTTTAACACTCAAATGTAAGCCAGATAACATGAGTCCAGTGTAATAAAACATATAAATAAAACTGCCCTAAGTACGTGTCAGTCATTAGAGGGAATGTAAACTGCAGAAGATGTTGGATAGCACCAGTGTGACGTAAAGGTCTCTGAGTTGATGTTTTTATGGTTGAAATTCAAGAAATACCTATCATGTTGTCAGTGAGGAATCTTGCCAGCTTGCAGCTATTTGGCCACAAGTTCTTTGGGCAAGACAAGACACAGATAGACGGTAGGTACTGAATCTTGCTCAGAATCTGACAAATAATATGTCATATTGTGCTACTATACCAGTACACTGATTAACAAAAGCACCTTCCAAAATTGAACTTCAGAGATGACTGCAAGTACAAGTCTCTTGTTCTTTGAAAACAATACACATGAGTTTGTGACTCATAGGTTTGATTTCTGAAGGTAGCTGTTGACAGTCTCATGCTTCAAAAATGAGTCCTGGCATGAGTATGGGGACCCATCAGGTATTTCTTGATATCGGGCCAACAGCAGTCAAGCCTGTCCTTGCTTGAGCCTTCAGGCCATTGGATAACATTAACAGAAATAGTGTGTGTGTGTGTGTGTGTGTGTGTGCACGCGTGCTAGCTCAAAGAGAAAGCATGAGAAGAGACACGACAATAGAGCAGAGATAGAGGGGTGAAGAAAGAGAAGAAAGAGAAGAAAGCTTGCGCAGGGCGGGTAAGTGTGAGAAAGTCAAATCAGGAGTAACTGTTTGATGCTTGCCAGCTCTTACCAAACACAAATACCCACGAAGTGTCTCATGTCTCAACAATTTGCATGATTCAATGTAAAAATAGAATTAGTACGTCAAAATATTCTGAAAATAATCCACCAAGCAGCTACAAATTGCTCACACAGATGATGTTTGGAGGATTTGGTGTTTGCAGGGGGTCTCTTATTGTGACTTTCCCAACTCTGTGTGTGTTTGTGCCTGAAGGCTGACATCTGGGTGCCATGTTGGTGAGTCTGGTCTTTTGGTCAGCAGAAATGTGCATGTTGAGAAGATGTCACATTCCCACAGCTCTTATCCTAGCAATGGCCTAACTTCTGACGTAACAATTGGAATAGCATGACTTTCTGCAAATGGTTAGTGGCTGCAGATGTTTTTAATGATTCAAAAAAGGTAAAAAAAAAAAAAAAGAAAAAGAAAGATTAAAGCTCATAAAGCCAAATGATCTTGTTAGTTGATTTCCCACTTTTCATATATCTATTTTAAACACATGAAGGATGCAATTTGTATGGCATTATACTTATTATTATTATTTTTTAAGCAAACTGAGAACAAAGTTGTGTATTTGTCTTGAAAATTGCAAATCATATTACAACCTCAAGCATCTTATTATCCAGCTTATTTTGAACCATATCCCCATACTGAGCTGTGTATTTTTTTAAAGGGCTACTCTCCATATAATCAGAAGCCACACAAATGTGTGCTCACAGACCCATTCCGGCCACTTCTCTGCCACCAGCCCCATCTTCTGTAGTTCAAATGTGACATGAGGTTAAAAAACTCTCTTTTAAGCTTGTTTAGGAGAAGGCCCCCTCCTGTGTGCCCAGCTCCCTGGGAGAAAAGTGGCCTCCAGCGCCAGTGGTGAGGAGGTGCCGTATTCTCTTCACCAGAAAGCACTGGGCAGAGGCCCTATAGTCACAGACAGAGAGTCGCGGAGCAGGAGATGGGAAATCATGGTTTGGAGTAAAACCACGTCCTCAGGGAACAGGGTGTCAGCAGGGATTGCGGTTCACGTCCTGGGCGACGCAGAACCACAAGGCCACCGCAGAGACCTTACTTTCCACTGGATCACAGGGCTCAGGCCCACTGGCCTCTCTGTAGATATCCAGTTACTAATCTACCGGCCCTGACCAGTACCCAGTCAAATGACGCTGCCCGCCCAGCAAGCAGACTGGGCTTCGCCCTGCAACACAGAGACCAGAGTAAATCCAGCCCAGCTGGCTGCTCTTGGGAAAATAGGGGAAAAAGGGAGGGAGGAATGGATGGATGGAGAAAGAGCAGGGAGAGCAATTTAGAAGGGTGGTCAGGAGACAGAGAGCAGTGTGGTCGAGCGTGGTCACTCAACAGCTGCGGCTTGGGAAGATTCTCTCTTCTGGGAGAATCTGACCCAGAGGAACAAAGGCTTTGTGGTCATGTCGAGCGTGTAACTAAAGGACAGGAAATGCAGACTTTTTCAGAGGGAGGAAAAACACTAAAGCCACTCAGTGGGAGGTTTTGGTCATTTACGATGCAACCATGTCGTCAAGCATCAAAACGGCACTCATCTCAAAACAGAAATGACAACTTAGGGTTTTTATAATTGCCTCCCTCATATTCAGACAATTCCTTGACTGCCAGAAAGCTACAATCCAGTGTTGGACAATAAAACATTATGGTTTTCTTTACTTTTTTAAAACTCTTGTGCATTGCAAACAATAGTGTAGAAGAGTGAACAGACATGAAGACACCTGATGTGATCCACTTTAACACTGATTTGCCTTCAACTGATCCTTTTTCTTATCACTAAAACAACTCAGTGGGGCGTGACAGCACATGCCCTCCTAAACACTGGCCATCACCTCGCCATGGAGACAGTCAAGCAAAACATTTATTTATCTTTGTGCTCCAGCCACACCCTCACTGTCTGCATATTTAAGTCTGCTCCTTCTCTTTTCTTCCAGTCTCTTCATCGCTTGCTCTGACTGTCACAACCTCACTTCGTATCTCCTTTCATTTCTCAGTTCTTTGTTCGCTGTTTCCTCTCCCTTGCCGACTTCAACTGGATTGATTCCTTCCAAATAAACTTTCTCTCCTCACAGCTCCTTCTCCCTCCCTCGTGTCTTCACCTTCACTCACTTTTATTCCAGAGACAAACTCTTTCCTCTCTTTCCTACACTCTGTCCCACTGTCAGTGTAATTCCATTGGTGTCAGACCTCCCAGGAGGGCCCAGACACAGGTAGATAGCTACCGCGGTGGGGAAGCTTCTCTGCTGTCGGCTTCCTGACGCCCGACCTGCCCCCCACACACTCACACACATGCACACCTTGCCTCAGGGGGGTCAGTGTCATCGTTGGCATTGGGCACATGCTTGTCGTGGTGCAATATTAAATCTTCTCATTTGATTTGGACTGTAATTATGTCGTAAAAACAAACTGGCTGTGAAGCCGTGGCCCGCCAGTGTGATCTACTTTCATCAAGTGCAGACTGGCTTAATTATAGAGTGCACCATACACCCATCTTTCACTGGGCAGCTTTTCCTGTTGCTTCTTTAAGCCATCACATTCTTTTATTGTGCGTTAATCACAAGGCAATTGGGCCGTTTGCAATGGCTGGGGTTAGATTTTAACACTGGTCTGTACACATCCTGCGTATTCTGGAGGAAAAAAAAAGTCAAGAGTTAAGCGGTTGTACATGGTAATGGAATCTGATGCCTCCTCTCTTTCTGTGGTGCACTTAATGATATGGTTTTCATACCACAAAGGTATTCAAATGTGAGGAATATCTGCTGAGAATAAAGGATTTACAGTTCTTTGTGCACTTCAAATTGAGTGTGTGAGGTTAGAAAGACAAATAAGTAAATTTGACAATGAATGACCAAATCTCATCAAAAGAAATCACACTGATGTGAACGACTGTAAATAAAACTTGGATCTTTTCCCCATGGGATTTTATTTCTGTTTCATCATCTTAAGAGGGATACATAAAACACTTGAAGAAATAACACTTGAGTGTGAAGATCTATGAATTTTACAAGCAAATTATTTTCTCATATGGACGCTGGTTTTTATCTGGTTTTA